GGAGACCATGGGCAGCCCTCCCCCACCCCAGAGAGGCCCAGGGCCGTTGTGTCACTCAGCAGCCCAGTTCCTGGGGTCTGGATTGAGGGACAGGCCTGGATGTAGAAGCCCAGGCTTGGCCCTGGAGCAGAAAGGCCTCCTGGGTTGTTGCTCCAAGGAGGAGCAGAGGTGGGTATAGAGGCTCAGATCTCCAGGATGGGGGTGTTCAGGTCCACAGCTTAGGAAGGTCGGGGGAGTTGAGGGGGTGGGGGGGTCATCCCTAGGCTGAGGGTGTTTGGGGCCACCAAGCTCTGGAGATGTCCACAGACGGACCTGGGAAGGGTTCCCCAGGGGATAGTCTCCCTCTGGGGCTGCCTGGGTCTCAGATCCCCCAGCAGCCAGACCACTGTGTCCATCCCTCCCCTGCCCAGGCTGGTGTCAGGGCTCCTTTCGTCCCAGACGCCAGCCTGAGGGGCAGCAGGGAGTACATGTGCCACTGCTGGGGTTGGCTTAGCCTCAAGACAACAGTGCTGGCTCTCCTGACAACAAGCTCCAGTACTGACCCTTAATTAGCTCTCAGTCCTGGTAAGGGAGGCAGACAGAGAACATTCCAGCACATGGGAAAATGTTGGGGGCACAGAGCAGTCCTGGGGGGCTTCCTGGAGGTGAGGCCACCACTGAGGCTGGCCAGATGGGTAGGCCTGTGCACGTATAGATCCTAGCATGTGCTCACAAGTAACTGCTGCCTCACACCGGTCTGGGCTAGGAAACTCCAGGTAGAGGGCTCAGATGGGGCTCCCCCCAACTGCAGTGGGATGTGGGAGAAGAGCCAACTGGAGGGTACTTGTCCCGTTGAAGGGCGGGGCACCTGGCAGCACAAGGGAACATAGGGGAGGAGACCCCACTGGCCTTCCTGCCCCACTGCCCATGTGGGAAGGGGGTACCTGACCCCGGCGGCAGGAGCTGTGGCCTTGGAGAAAGCCTGGGCCCCAGTCACACCCCATGTGCCACCCGCAGATGGTGAGAAGTTGACTGGTGTGACAGATGGCCGGGGCATCCCAGCTGCACTGTCCACACAGAGGGCAGAGGACTCCAGCGAGAGTCGCGAGGAGGAGCAGGCGGTGAGCAGGGCCGTGGGAGAGGCTGCTGTATGGGCTGTGTGCGTGGGGGCCCGGGGCCAGGCGTATGTCCTGAGGTCTGCGTCGGGGTGGGCATGGGTGTGCTGCATGGCTGTGCCATGGGCTGTGTCCCATTGTGTGTGTGTGTGTGTGTGTGTGGTTGTGAGACACACACACACATCCCCTCACATTTCTCAGCTTTGACCCTGGTATCCTTTCTCTTCTGTAGCCAGAAGGTCAGGACCCAAACATGCTGCTCTCTGGGAAGGCTGGAAGGCCGCCCCCACTGAACCTCACTCATCAGGCGCCCCCGTGGCGGGAAGAGGTGAGCTGAGCGCAGCCTGCAGTGGCTGGGGGGAGGGCCGGGCTTGTGCGGAAGGTAAGGCCCCCCTCCCCCTAGTACAAGGGCCAAGTCAACCTGCACGTGTTCGAGGACTGGTGCGGGGGCGCCGTGGGCCACCTGAGGAGGAACCTGCACTTCCCACTTTTCCCTCATGTGAGTGCTGCAGCGGGGCGGGGCTGGCCCTACGGGGGGCGGGGCTGTGCAGTGGGCGTTGACGTCAAAGGTCTCCGCCTGCAGACGCGCACCACCGTGAAGAAGTTGGCTGTGTCCCCCAAGTGGAAGAACTACGGACTCCGCATTTTCGGCTTCATTCACCCGGCGAGAGATGGTGCGGGTTTGGGGACGGCGGGGGCGGGGCATCCTGAATGGCCCGCCCCCCTGAGCCCCTGTCCTGTGGCCTAGGAGACATCCAGTTCTCCGTGGCTTCGGATGACAACTCTGAGTTCTGGCTGAGCCCAAATGAGAGCCCCGCGGGTGCCCAGCTAGTGGCCTTTGTGGGCAAGGTACCCCCACTCCATAGCCCTGACCCCAGCTCTGCCTTCCCACCTCACCCCCTCCACGCGCACCCCCCATCTATCTTCACTGGACTTCCTGTGGCCTAGGTCCCCTGCCCCCTCCAGCTTCTTAGGAACTAGGACTGGATGGGGCTGGTGCCCACAAGGAGAGAGCGAACCTTGCCCCGCCCCTTCTGTGTCGCCCCCCAGACTGGCTCGGAGTGGACAGCGCC